GCCCTCGGAGCTGCCAGGTCAGGCAGGACAAACAGGGCTCAGGCCAGGAAACGGCCTCTGCCTCGGGGCCTGGCCTCCTGATAATCCCCTCTCACTGCCCCCATACCATAGGCACTACTTCTGCACACCTCTGTCAGATACTCCACAACAAAGCCTCATCACATACAATTATGGGTTATACAGTAATGCAAACCTGCAGAGCAAGTACTCTGCAAAGACACAGATACGTTACATGTTATATTTTTGTGTAAAGTGACTCAATTTAAAGACACTAGGACTACTAATGGAAGTATCACCATATTTTAGACAACAATGATGACATCTATTTTGATAAACAAAACATTGGAAATATATTTTTTTTTAAAATCTCAAACAATTCAATTAGTGTGATAGTATGCATTGTTGATAAAAGTGAGCTGTGCAAATGAAGTTGCTGAGCAAACACCTCAGCCGTCCATTTATTCGCAAAAGTGGCTCTAGGGCCGAGAAAGTGCGAGCATGAGAAAGAGAGGGGGATAAAAAGAGTGTGATCCAGAGATATAGGGAGACACACAGGAGAGAGAGGGGACCTTTTCTTGCCCAAGCTCATCAAGTACGGGCCAGGGCTCCTGAAAACGCAGGGATTACAGGGTTCCACCACTGTACGGGATGGGGCCGCCTCTGCTTCGTCCTGCACTGCACGCTACACTGCTCCACTAAAGCACTGCACATGGTTCTCACACACACACAGCTACTCACCCATGCCTGGTGGATACTGGACTTTCACATCAGTGTCAGAACAATCTGCACATCTACAGGCAATGAGTGAGTAAATAAAAACAAATTTAAAAAAAGATCTGTTCCCAAGACACCTTTTTGCCCTCAGCAACAGGACAAGGATTTTATTAAAAACAGCGAACATCAGGTCAAGTTCACATCCCACTGATAAGCATGTTTGTAAATCTTTTGGAATGTTTAGTGATAACTGATTCTACTGATAATACAATGCCAAACGCACAGAAATTTGTATACACGCATATGTTGGGGGATTCAAAAATGTCTTGGCGGCTAAGGTCCTAAGAAACCATGTGAGTGTTTTGCATTTAATCTTTTTAGCAGTGTATAGACTATTTGTTTAATTTTATTTCATTATACACTTTGACTCTTTTCTGACAAAGATGAAATGAAAAGGTATAACAGAATAGCTGAAATATTTAGGTTATTTTTAACACAGTAGGTTATTTGTTTGTAACTATTTTTGAACATTTGTACAATGCCTTAAGTACATGCCCTAATAATAGATTTTTGTTGTGAAGTCCCTCTAAGTTTGTGACATTCTTGAAGAACTATGTGCACAGCCAGCTGCCGATCAATGATGACTAAAAGTTTACAACAAATGGGTAAGCTGTTGGGGGAGCAGAGGGCGTGAGTGGTGTCAAATCATGCTTGTTTTGAAGAGCTATCGGTTTGTTCCTGATTTTTACATGTGGGACTACAGAGGAGGTATCAGTGAGGTCATAGTTACAAAGATGAATCCATTTACAGACGTCAGAGTTTCGGAGAACAGCAGAAACAAGGACCTGCTTTGAGACACTATGAACTATCTTTCAACATGCACTTCTCAGCCTTTCACCTCCTCCACATCAGCTCAATTGTGTTTTTTTCCACACTAATAGAGGAAAATCCTTGTGACAAAATTGGCAAAACATTAATGAGGAATACAATATAAATTATGTAGCATAGCCTAAAATTATATATATAATTATATAATATTTAATCGCTAAAAGATATTGCTAAGTGAGGAGAGATTGACAGGTGGCACAAATGGCCCACTGTTGTGTTATTATTAATTAAAGATTTATATTATTATGATAATATTGACATGATATGGCTTGCTTTTACTTAAAAAAATAGACGTTATAAGTCAGAAGTCTGTCCTGTCATCGTGATCCTCCTATTTACATCCACACCCCCTAACGCTTTTGTCAAAACAGGTGGGATCAGCACCTAAAGACTTGTACAAACAACTATAAAGAAACCTTAAGGAGATTGTTTTCTAGCCCATATAAGCCAGACAAGCCAGAAAATTTAGCTGAAGGGAAATTTTGACATCTCTTTAATGGTGGCATTGTAGTCTACCTGCGTTTCAGATGGGTCACCAGTCCTGGACTAGCTAAAATAGAACACTAAATTGGATCAAATTATTGAATTCATGGAAAATCATTTAATATAAATGTAAACTGAATGAGCCTTGTCTTAAATTATTGAAGTACTGTTTGCATGTAAATATTTATCATGATTTTAATTCATTACAACAGTAGTATTGAGGCGGAACCATACATTGGGCAATTGTTTCTGTCGAAATAAAAATAACGCCGTACAGGCGGTTTTCTCAAACAAAGATGGCGTCCCGGCGAACAACAACAGTACCCAGAAGTTTGAAAAGCTCTTCTGCAGATACTAAAAGGTGACGCCAATTGCAATGTCGACTTCACTTGGTTTAATTTTATTGGAGCGTGTGTGTCGGTGGTCCCCGGCATTGGACTCACCTTATCGCGCTACAGTTTATGTGATGTTAACTTAGAGGCATACGTTGGTTACATTAAAGTGTGTGTTCTTTTCATTTCAGTTCTAAGGGCGGAAATGTTACCAGTAAGGCTAACAACAGCGGCAATGAAAAGAAAAGTGTTAAATGTAACTATGTAATATCATTTGTTGTTCTGCTACACTGTCTGTCTAAAATATTTAAGTGCCTACTAAAATCTAACAATATTATTTAAGTGATGTTATAACATTGTGTTTTGTTTTGTTTTTTAGCAAGTGGGACAATTGTGAAATCACGTTATCTTCAATCCGCTGAGAAAACTGCTCTTTCAAAGGTTGGCCTGTTAGTCTGACAGTCTACATCATATAGTTGTCACTCAAATCATGAAAATAACCAGGCCCAGAAATATATTTTACATTATTTTGGTTTGGTTTATTTAAAAACATATATTCTCATTTACAGAGCAGTTCATCAAACAATGAGTCTATGCCCCCTCCTCAAAGACCTGATTCACCTAAACCCAGACCAAAAGTGGGCACACCCCCAAGGCGATCAGTTGTCCCCCACACTTTCACAACCTGTGAGTCTTTCATCATAAGTTATAATGAAGTTTATTGTTCTTTTTTTTTTTTTTTTTAATTAAAAAAAAAAAATGTCTTTACTCTACACTTATTTGCAGCAATCATGGCAAAAGAAAATGAACCTTCCATTCTTGAAAAGTATGTGATGCAGTCAACTTTCTCAGATGGGCATTACTTACATCCAGATTTTGATATTTCAGTAATTAAAGGTATATAATATTTATTGCCTTGTGATGTGTACTATTTTATGACACATTTTAATCTACATTTGTATAGAAAAAAATTCTTCAGAGAATTTCACAGAACTGGAGCGGAACCCCATTCCAGAGAATGACAAAAGGATAATAGAGCTGCAAACATTGTTGCTGGCCTATCTAACTGCTAAGGTAATTCCAGTCATTCAGTACTGTGATAAATATTGAATATTGAATGTATGCTATGCTAACTTTCTTTTAGATGGAGAGCAATACAACAAAGCTTTGCACAGAGGCAGAAGCCAGAATCCTCCATGAGCTGGAAGAAGAAGAGGCTCTACGTATTGAGGTTTTGGATAAAAAACGCCAGTATGAGTTAAAAGAGAAGAACAGACTTCTAAACGAGTTGTTAGATGTGCAGGTTAGTTTGGTCTTTTTTGTATTACTAAATTATTAGTATGTGCTGACCTTCAATTGTTTTTTTGCACAACGGCTCTCTGTCTAGTTCTCATCGCAAAGTAAGTGTCTCTGCTTCCACTCTTACACTTCCGCTTCCACTCTTACAAAATCACTATGGTTTTTTTGCACAGTTTTAAATAAACATTTGAGGATTGTACAGTGTAAAGAGAGTCATGACTATGCATGATGTGAATACTTTGAGGAACACTTCTGTGTTATTTAGAAATTTGTTTTTGCTAAGCTAGAAATGTGTTTAGGTTTTGTTTTGCTCTAACCTCACAGGATTGTAATTGTGGAAGTGACTGATGACAATAACTGACCTAAGGTTATGTGACAGTTTTCAACAGTCATTTGATGGTTCTTTTTCACCAGATTGCATCACTGACCCCTATAGCAGAGGCTGCCACTCAGTTCACTGAAGAATACAAGTCCTTTGCAGTAGCTGTTGATACCACACGTTGTGAACTGCCTGTTAAGAATTTCTACATGAACAGAGAGCAGAGGGATTTTCTAGGTTGTAGTTTACTGTTAATCTTTCAGTTCATATTCATATTTGCTAATGTCTGTGTTGAACCAATGATTAATTTTATGTGAATAATATTCAACACTTTTTACAATTATAGATAAAGCAGAAACATCCCTGAAAGAGAGTGAGAAGTTGTTTGAAGAGTGCATACATGGGAATACACAGGACAACTGTATGTCTCTAGAGTTTCTTAAACACATGAAAATGACTTCAAAGGATATCGGTCAACAACTTTCAGGGTAAGAGCATTATATACTGTTTAACAACCTTATAACTTGTTAAAATACCATAACGAATGAACACATTTCATGCCAAATACTGACTCCCTGACTGCAGACTTTTAAATTGTCTCTTGTTAATGCTGCAGAGCATTTTCAGAGATGCTGGAGTTGTCGTCTCTGATTTGCCGACAAACCATCCATCTTCAACAGGCCGCAGAAGAAGAGCAATTAGGAGCCGCTCGTACTCATAAGCTCTTCTGTCTTAAATCTTGAGTGGATGCACTGATACTTTGGATTTACCTTTTACTGATTTTTTGAATAAAATTTTACTCTTGATTTGAGTTGGTGTATGTGCCTTGCAAGTAGTAGCTGCAAATAGTATTTTGAAAAAAATATATATTTTGAAATGGTATGATTACTTGACATTGTACTCCCTATATTTTTGGTTTGTTTCTACAACGTACTTGTAATACTATTGGACTTGTAAAAATATTTTTTTTAAAGTGAAGTATTTTATTGGTACCCCATCGGTGTAAAAATATAAAGACGTTTATTTCATTTTTGTGCCGGCAATGAGATTTATCTGTAAAAGCGAACTAGAGAGGATGTCAGATTTTTGCAGGGCGGATGTGACGTCCATTGATTACGGGTTTTTATTTCCGGACAAAACAAATGAATCGTAGGAGGACCCGGAGGACTCACCATTCACTGTGAGTGCCATTTATTAATTTGAAACCTGTTTCTACATTAAATTAAACTCTAAAATATATGTAATAATCTAATATCTGGATTCTGGAATGTTTGCTAAAGTGCGGATACTCCGCTCTGCCAACTGAGTTTGCTGCTAGCACCGAGGTGTAAACAGCACAACATGTGCCTACACACACACACACACACACACACATGCATAGACGCATACCTTGTTAAAGGTTATATTTGAGAAAGTCAAGGGAAATTTTCTTTAACCAACAGTCACTGTAGCCCAAACGCTGAAAGGAGGGCTGAAACAGACGAATGGAAAACCTCAAGTCAAAAATCATGGAGAGACCGAGGCAACAAAGAGAACACACTGGAGACGCCCGTGGAGGAGAGAATACCTAAGGGAACATGCCAGACCATGTGCCCTGCCTTTGAAATGCGACAGCGACAAGCACAGCACCGCCTCCATCAGTATGAGATACTGAGGGGAACAGCGAAAGATCGTCAGCCCAGAGCAGACCCTTTACGTACAGTGAAGGAGTATGCCAGACCAGCTGCAGGCAAAGACTCCACAAACCCCAGTGACCTTAGAGCACCAGATGTGTTGCAAAAGACTGTGCGCTATCTTCTTGACGAAATTGCTACCTCCCCAAATCTACATCCTTGGACGGAGGTTAGTTATTTTAACAAGTGTCTAGTCCTATTTCAGGACCCATGTCACTAAAATACGACATGTGTATTTGTGTTTAGGTGTATGGGTTTGTCTTTGATCGTCTACGTGCAGTGAAACAAGATATGATTATTCAGCGGCTATCTGGGACAGAGTGTGTGACAATTCTGGAGCAAAGTGTTTGTTTTCTTGTTTATGCATCATACCGTCTTTGTGGTGAGCCTCTTCGGCATTTTGATCCGAAGATCAATGACATGCATGTACAGGAAAATCTGAGCTGGCTACTGGACTGCTATGTTTCTAGCTCGGCACCGAATGACCACCGGAAAGAGTATGAAGCACTGAATTTGCTGTACAATTTAGGTTGGTAATAAAAAATAGATTATTAAAATTAGGCTTTTTACATGCACTGATTTTTTAGTAGTAAAATTTATAATTTTAAAATATTTTACTGTTTTTATTTTAACTAGGTTGTACCAAGGCCCTGCAGCGTGTCATGCAGCTTCCAGAGGGACTCCGCTGTGCTCCTGACATTTCATTGGCTCTCTCAATCAATCATGCTTATCTTGAACGTAATCCAGTTCGTCTTCTTAGATTGGCTAAGAAGTTGAACTTCCTACAAACATGTGCTCTTCACCGCCATCTCACATCATGCCGTAGAGATCTTCTCCTAATATACAGTCATGGATTTAGCAGCCGTAACTGTCGTTTTCCACTTGAGAAACTGAGTGATCTTTTGGATTTGGATACATGTTATACAACACAATACTGCCAATTATATGGAGTTGAGATCAACCTAGAAAATAAAGTTGTCTTTACTAAAAGTGCCTTTGCTGAGCCTGAACAGGGAAAAGGACAGTGTTTACAGTATCACAATACTAAAACTGAAAAACTTAAGTTAATTTTAATGGGATGTAAAGTTCATGACTCTTTGTAATGAATAGTGCTGTATGGTGTGTTATGTTTGCATAGAGTAATTTTATTTTGACTAAAGGATGTGCTACCCAGTGTTCTAAAAGCTGGAATTTATCTCTGTTCATCTGTCTTGTTTATTAGCTTAAAGATAGTATGTTTCTGGAGGTTTTTTTTTTTAAAGGTCAAAGGTCTTATATATATTTTTTTTATATATAAAAAGGTTCATATTGTGACTTTAATGCCCATTGTCCTTTTTGTTAGTTTGAAAGGTGAATTCAATAATATTTATTATACATTTATTTTAGATGATGTATGTACGTAGAGTAGCTTGTGCCCAAATAAAATTATTCCTAATTTTTAATAGTTTTTAACATTTGTTGCTTGGGTGTTCTGTTTAAATTGAACATCTGTATTTCATATGATTGCCCACTTGGTGGCAGTACTTGTTTATGACACGCCACTTGAACGAAGGAAAGCCTAAAACTTTAATTGAAGGCTTCCTTTTATCTTGGAGCTCTTTGGAAAATAAAATATGCAGTGTCAATGATTGCGTTAGGAAATGTAGTTTACAAGATGTAGAATTTCTAAGTAACCTAATCTGAGTTACAGGTTTAGAGCAGTTCTGCTGGTTTTGGTCGCGCTTTGCGCAGTCCAGAGAGTAGTCCAAGTGAATGGAGCGCACACCTCCGCTCACAGCGGAAGAAGTACGAGCAACTTGAAAGACGTTTCCAAAAGTAACACAGCGAGTGAGGATTGCAGAGGAGACTTAAGGCATTTTCAATATTTGAGCATTTTTAGAAGCTGAAGTGGGAGGACGCTTATAATAAGTATTGGTGAAATATGATCGAACAGAACCGGGGCGGGTGAAGGCACATGGGAGAGGACTGCCCGTATAATCTACTGTGGCTCTAAAGAAAAAAGCGATTTACTTGGAAGTGGATTTGACGAAGTGGGATGGTTAAACAGCTGATGTTTGTTTCTAAGAGAAGCTATGCACTTATAGCGCTCGAGTCAGCCCCAATGGACAGACTGAGTGGACTGTAGATAGCCTACACTTGAAGATTAAAGTCTTCTGAGAGGTTACACAGATCCAGCCGTATCATCGTTAATGTGACCAACATGTTGAACTGGTCTTTGCTGAGTGTTTTATGGACTTTGTTCATCTGCAGCAGAAGTTATGCGCAAGAAAGACAGTAAGTACACAAAGTAGCATGGGACGCTTTGGATGTGGTGTGCTCTACTTAGATAGCGCCAATGTTGATTTGATTCAGCTTGAAGACAGAAATTTGTAATATATGCACAATGGTGTGATAATGCCTTATATCATTCAGATTTTTTCATTTCTTATTGTTGTTATGCATTTTGGGGCTATTACACCAGTCTACTGTGTGTTTAATGTTGAAGGCTATATATTTTGCTTAAGCTATTACAATAAATAATGGTAGTGGTGCTGCCCATTCTGGGACTGATGCAGATCAAAAAGAGCTGAATGAAGAAGGAGAAATGTTCTCTCATAACTTTACCTTAGTTGTAGCTGTCCGGAGCTCTACTATTACGGTGGATGACGCAAATCATTGCTATTCACTTTACAACCTATTGATAACAGTTTGCAGTGCAATGGTATTCACCAGCCAATACAGGCTCATCTCAGCAGATCAAACACACACACTCAATTTCCTCTTATTATCTTGCTTTTCCTCAAGCCTTATTTTGCAGGGGATTTTCTCACGACTTTCTCTCAGGATCTTTTCAGTTGCCCCTGGCTGTAATGCTGTATTGCCGTAATGCCAACCACCTGATCTCTTTCCCAGGCATGCAAAAGAGTTTTTTTCATTGCTTTGTTCACCTCTAATTTGTCTGATCATCATTTAAGTTCATAATAGCCTTATTTGCCTTCCTAGGAATTCAAATACCACTGATGTGTTATGTGATATTTCTTATGCCACATTTCATCATAGGTTTGAGTTGTCACTGAACAAATGTGTGGGAATTGTTTGTATTATCATGATATTTCATTCCTAAAATGATTCATAATAAGCTCCAAAGTGGGACCTTTTCACCCTGACCCCATGATAATCTTTGTTTTCCACAAATAAAGTGTGGAATGTCATTATTATCTAATTATTTTTTCAAATGCCAACCCAACAAAACATAAACATTAGAGTCTGTAATCACTGAACACATATCCGGGTGTAGTGCTGTTAATTTAAGACAAAATAAAGCTTACAACCTGATTTTTCACTGTGTCCAATCTTTATGTATCTCTTCGTCCCCTTGTTCTCAGGGGTTACTTGGTTGCTGCCCCATCCTTGTTCCGGGCAGGCACAGAGGAGTCCGTAAGTGTGACGATCTTCAATGCAAAAGCAGAGACACGAGTCCAAGTGCAGTTGTCAGTAAAGGGTCAGGTGGTCGCCCACGGTCATTCCTCAGTGCTTGGTGAGAATAACCTTTGTCTAATTATCTTAAAAGTTAAAAAAAAAAAAAAAAGGCTTCACCTAACTTTGGGATGTTTTGCCTCATTACAACAAAATCAGATAGAATGCAGATTATTATTAGTAACATTTAAGCAACTTTAAGCATCTCTTTGAGCAAACCCTTTCTCAAATAATTGATGTATTTGTCCCCTGTTTCTGTAGACAAAGGTACCATCAATCTAAAGGTCAGTTCAAATCTATGTTATTGTCCTTTACCAACACTGCCCAATAGAAATGCATGACACAGTTTAATCATGCCAGCTGCACCTTAGTGTGAGTGACATCTTTTCTGTTTTGCACATTCCACATGGCGAAACGCAAAGCCATACTAACATTATTGTGATGCTACATCTGTCTCCGCTCAATATGCCACAGCTGTTGACGTGCATGTACCGCCTCCACAGTCAGAGAGAGATCAATGTAGCATGCAGGACTTGCTTCTTCCAGTGTCTATGTGTTTCCAACTTGCGACCCTCACTGTGAACCACACCCTCATTCTCTTAACATACTGTCATCTATAAAGAGCTATGCTTTTTGTGTTTCATTTCTGCTTCGTATTGTGTCATCTTTTGTTTACTCCATAGTGAATGTAGTATAAACCAAAATTACACACAAGGTAACTTCAGTCAGTTACCTGTCTGCCTAACTTGACCTAGATTTAGTTTTGTTTATACTTTTGTATGTGTGTTTACTTGCCATAGGTTCCCTCTGGACTGAGAGGCCAGGCCCATCTGAAAGTGTGGGGGAACCGTCACCTCACTGCAGGAGGCTACATCTTTCATAACTACACCACTGTCACTGTGGACAGCAAGGGCACAGCTGTCTTTATTCAGACCGACAAGCCAATCTACAAACCCAAACATAAAGGTGTGAATACTTCTACCATACTGACTATAACAAATTTATTTTGAAAATTGTATTTGCATAAATTCATAAATCAGTCTTGAAGGAGTTTAACACCGTATTCAACTTTTATTCCTTTTTTCCCCTTTAGTGTTCATCAACGCCTACGTGATCAACCCTGACCTGAGACCTGTGAATGAGAAGGTGACAAAACACATTTTAAATGATAATAACTTTTTCTTTTTTTATATATATATTAACTGCATTAAAGTGTACCTCATTTGAGTGGGGAAATGTACAATTGCATTTTACAGCAGTCAATCTCAAGTTATTTCCTGTGCAATGTGAGCAGTAGCTCTGAACTTACACAGCAAGTGTCCAGACACACGCTTTATTGATGGTTACTTCTATAAAGCTCTACTCCTGCTAAATGGCAGTGCGCTCTCAACAGATGGATGATTGTTGGATAAAGTGGGGTTAACACAAGGAATAAACTTATCCCAGCAACCCAAGTGTTTAATGTATCTCTGTCTCTCTTGTTTTGCAGGTTGAGGCCTATGTTTTGGTGAGTAGAGGTTGGGGGACCACCCATGCTTTGCAAAGCCAATGGTTTGGATAGGACACTAGCAATTTTATTCCTAGTGTAGTTAGAGATTATAGAGCAGAAGTTATGGTGGTGCACGTAGATAACAGGATGGAGTAGTGCAAGAACAAACAACATCAAAGAAATCTTCCCCCTCTTTTCAAACTGTCCCTAACACTGTTTATGCAAAATAATTTTTCAGAATCACATTTATTGCCATTGTCTGTGAACAACATCCTACATTGTATTGTATTAACTCAGAATTAATAAATATGTGGTATAAAGAAGTGATGAAGTTATTTGTGGCAAAAATCTACTGAAGTTAGGATCTGATATTTTAGACAAATGTTGGGTCTTTTAGGATCCAAAAGGCTCGAGGATTGTCCAGTGGAAAAATCTTCAATCTGTTTGCTGTGGTAAGCTGCTCTTAGCTGTAATAGTGCATTTTCTACCTCAGCAGTTTTTAATGAAATGTGTGGGCTCTTTTCTCTTTTAGGAGTGGTAAACATGAGTTTTCCTCTGTCTGACCAGCCTGTGTTTGGAGAGTGGTTTATCTTTGTGGAAGTGCAGGGTCACACCTACAACAAATCATTTGAGGTGCAGAAATATGGTAAGACATTTGAATTTATAAATATTATTGTCATGTAAAAAAACCCAATTGTGTAATTACCTAGTCTAGCAATATTTTTAATACATAATGTGTGATTCATTGTTCTTTCTAACAGTCATACCCAAATTTGAATTGGTTATTGATCCACCTCGCTACATTCATGACCTGAAATCATGTGAGCAGGCCACGGTGAGAGCCAGGTACATAACTCATATTTCTCCGTCTCTCTCTCTCTCTCTTTCTCTCTCTCTCTCTGTGTATGTATATATATATATATATATATATATATATATATATATATATATATATATATATATATATATATATATATATAAATTGTACTTCTAGTTATTTATTGCACTGTTTTGCACAATTTTACAGGTATACTTTTGGAAAGCCAGTGACAGGGAAGTTAACTGTTAATATGACTGTGAATGGAGTAGGGTACTATCGCCATGAAATGGGTCACCCAGTCATTAAAATCATGGAGGTTAGTTTAAATGTAAACTAAGAGTACATGTATACATTGTACAGTGATGGCTCTTTACTTATGTACTTTGCTTTATTTCAGATCAAAGGATCTGCCAATTTCAGCCTCTGTGTGAGGGACATGATGCCACTGGATGTGGCAGAGCACTTCAGAGGCTCTGTCAGCATTTGGGCGACTGTAGTCAGTGTAGATGGAACCAAACAAACCACGTTTGATGATTCAACACCTGTTCACAAGCAGCTTATAGACATCAAGTACTCCAAGGACACAAGGAAACAATTTAAGCCTGGTCTTCCCTACAAAGGAAAGGTAGGAAACAGCTATAGTTATCTGATAGTTGTCACTTGGGCTTTTGGTTACTTGCTTATTTTGCATATTTATGTCTTGTAGCTTGAGGTGACATATCCTGATGGGAGTCCGGCTGATGGAGTGAAAGTGCGTGTGAAGGCTGAACTGACACCAAAAGACAATGTGTACACGACTGAGCTGATCTCAAAGGGTGGACTGGCTACCTTCGAGATCCCCTCCATTCCTGCTGCAGCTCAGTATGTGTGGCTAGAGGTCAGTGTGCACTGTTCACACTGAAAAGTCCAAACCACACCTTTTTTTTTTTTTTTTTTTTTTTTTTACACTGTTTTTCTTTGTATAGACAAAGGTGACATCCATTGATGACAAGACAGTGGGAGATCAGTACCTGCCCAGCTATCTTTCCATTAGCAGCTGGTACTCACCTAGCAGGTGTCATATACAGATCCAAAGCCCCAGTGCCCCCCTTATGGTAAATGTTAGGTGTTTTAAGAGTCAATTGCTTTCATCCAGTGATTTAATAACTGCCTGTCCATCTTTAGATTGGCCATGAAGCAGAACTGGCAATCAAGTCTACATGTCCCTGCAACTTTACCCTTCACTATGAGGTTGCCTCCAGGGGAAACATTGTTCTTTCAGGGCAACAGTTGGCCAATGTGACTGCCTTTCATCGAGGGAAAAGAGCCACGGTCACTTTTGACAAAAACATCCATACCACCCCTTCATCATCTGGTTAGTGTTTTTTCTCATATGCTGTTATACTGCACTGAATAACCTGTCTTTCATAGATATTAAGTTTATGTGTTATGTTTAATATTTTAAAGAGAAATGTCACCTCTAACTCCTGTGGCTGTGTTGCAGGCTCTGGATCTCAGGCAGAGATTGACAGCTGTGTGTCTTATCTACGTTTCCTTGTGAGACACAGCATGGCTCCTCTGAGCCGGCTGCTGGTCTACTACGTAAGGGAAAATGGGGAGGGTGTAACTGACAGCCTGCAGATCCCAGTCCAGCCCAGCTTTCAGAATCAGGTTGGTTTTGACATTATATAATTTACTTGATGATGTAATGTGGACAGCTGTTTATCCTAAACAGCAATTAACTGTTACAGGGCAAATCTTCCAATCTTCTATTCAACAAAATTTACTTTTCAAGACTGCAATACATTACAATACATTTTGAGAAAAAAGATTCTGGGCAGGAAAATCTGAAGCAACTGTAGCTCTTGCAGTATTAACACAATTTACTGTTAGTCATCTTTAAGTGACCAAATGGGTCCAAGTTTAGTATTTGAATTCTGTGGGTTTTCAAAAATATAACAAAGTGTTATTATGCATTTACTATATAAATGTTGGATTGTTGCCAGAGTGCTCATGCACCAACTCCATCTACTGTGTAATACATGTAAACAAACAGCTGTGTTGGCCTGGGAGAGCTCCCCAGTTCCTGGTTGCATTAGGAGTTAACTCCCTGAAGTATTTACAGCTCCCTGGTATGCCATTAGAGCATGTGTGTTTGTGTGTTGTGTGGAGGAGGGGGCGAGGGCAGGACAAGGCAGAGAGCTCCAGGGCTACAGGCGTTTGGGTTGTGACAGACTGACATTACAATGATAGATTATATAGCGGTGAAAGGAGGCCAGTGGAATAGACCAACACACAATTTGAGAAAGTTTACAGTTTACTCTCAGCCCTCTTTTTTTTTTTTTAATCCAATAAAATAAATAATATGGATCTAGTCTCAATGTCGTGACACATCTCTGTGAATGTATAATAATTAGTGCTATGCTAATATTAAGAAAGATTCATTGCCAAAACATCAGGCACAAGAAGTTAATTAGTTGAATAAAATATATTAATATATTAATGAATTCATTATTTTGTGTGTTTTTGTAACAGGTCTCTGTCTCTCTGTCAACAAATGAGTCTATGCCAGGGGAGCCTGTGACCATGCGTATCCATGGACAGAAGGGCTCCTGTGTTTGTGTGGCCACTGTGGATAAGAGCATGTATCTGATAAAGCCTGGCTTCCAGATGACAACCGACAAAGTTAGTACAAAACTACTTGCTTAACTGGAAGATAAATGTCTGCAATTGTCAAATAAAAGCAAACACAAAAGTGAATACACAAATTTACCAGAATATTTTCCATCTGGTTTGAAGAAGACTTTGTTAATGATGCATGCACTACTTTTGAATATATCTAAACAAGTTTTTTTCTTGTGTGCAGGTGTTTCAGGAGCTGGCAGACTTTGATTTGTCTGATGCCTTTGGTGTACCTAAAGATGATGGGCATTTCTGGTGGCCTGGGCTGTCTTCAAAGAGACGCAGGCGCTCATCTGTATTCCCCTGGCACTGGGACATCACTAAAGATGCCCGCTTTGCTTTTACAGTAAGAAGACTTACTCTGAGCTTTTATTTATGGAACAGCAATAAAATAATAATCATAGTGTCTGTGTATTAAACACAGGAAGCTGGGCTGGTTGTGATGACAGACATGGTGAGTTTAAACCATAGACAAAGCGGAGGCATTTATACAGATGAGGCCGTGCCTGCTTTTCAACCTCACACCTCAGCAATTGTTGCAGCCACACATGCACGTTCTCCAGCAAGGTAAAGAGCTGCTCTGCAGGTCATTGAAATAATACGGAAATTTCAATACATTTAAACAATTTCTTTCTTTGGTGGAGTCATATTAAGTTGTTTACACGTTAATCTTTTTATGGGGAACATTGGGTGTGTATCCATGATAAGACTTTGTGATATTGGAAGTATGTAATAGTTTGAGTTAGCCTGGGAACTTGCACTAAAATGATACAGAACATATATATTATTAAGGGAGTATTTTGTTTGTATTAAATGACCCTTGAATGAGCTTTATTTTGTGCAGTATTAAAAAAGGAAGTGATATACTTAATTGACAGCTTAATCTGGGAGTTTACAATTTTTATAACAAGGTCATTTATGTGTTTGTAGAACAATGGCACTGATGTACACAATATAACTAAGCTGTGCACTCACTATATTGCACTGGTTATGTGTGTAGCTTCAGTGTATCTCTTTGCTTTGTTTCAGAGCAGAGAAACGAAAACGGACATTTTTCCCTGAAACATGGGTATGGCACTGCGTCAATATTAGGTATTTACACATATTTGTTATGTTTTTACTGTGTAATGTTGCACTGCGTTTACAATTTTCTGTATTCAAAAATTTTTTATGCACAGTTTTTTGTTTGTTTTTGTTTTTGTTTTGTTTTTTAATCTTAAAAGGAATCATCTTAGCCTGGCTGCCCTTGTTCTTTGTCAGCAGATTTCCACATTGATTATGAGCCAGTTTAAACCAGCCCTTTTTTCACATGCCTGATGTTTTTGGATGGGTTTTCAACTCTGCCTAATTTCCTGTAAAGTTTAAAGCTTCCTGTTTCCCTCAACCTTTAAATATTTATTTGGTCAATTTGATCCAAAGAAAGAGTGTAAATTTGTTGTTTGAACTGTAGGTCTGTTAGGCTTTGCCAGTACCAACTCTGAATATGTGTTGCCAGATATGATCTCAGCTTGTATAATTCAAGGAAATGGAGTTCAGCATATAACTGCCCCTCATAGTATCTTCTTTGATGTGTTTTTGAAGCTGCTGCAGGTGTTGTTGTTGACACAGGTGTTGCTAATATAAAAATATTTTGCAATGTATTGCATAAATCTGTGCTAGCATTCTGTATTATGAAGTTTTATTGCCTGTGCTAAATAAAATTACTGACTGATGTTTAATTCTTTTTACCTCACTTCCTAACAAAGCCTGTTTATTTCCCACATGTGTCTCTGGTCAGCTCTGAGAGCGGGCACACTGAACTCCAATTAGATGTGCCTGATTCCATCACCACATGGGTAACAGACGCCGTCAGTCTATCTGAAGGAAGTGGCCTGGGCTTAGCCAAGAGGACAGAACTACGTGTCTTCAAATCCTTTTTTGTTGATTTTACATTGCCATACAGCCTCATACGAGGAGAGCAGACTAAAGTTCCTCTTACTGTGTACAGCTATCTTCCAACCTGCTCTGAGGTAATAATTGACAATGTTAGTTTTTTCTTGATGTGGTATATTAATTACCACAAGCGTCTTTACTTATTATCTCTTTTACAGGTCCATGTTAAAATCTCTGTTCCAAAAGGCATCAAGTTTGTGGGCCACCCAGGAAAGCACCATCTGACAAGAAAGAAATGTGTAGCTCCAGGAGAGGCTGCACCAACATCCATCGTATTATCTTTTACTGAACTGGGGACTGCCAACATCACAGGTACTCAAATAAACACATTAGCAGACCAGCTGGTAAATTAAGATAGCACTGGTGGCTAAACATTAACTGTGTGTGATCTAGTGACCCATCAGGAGTCACAAATAGAGGCACAAACACATCCCCAATACATGTGAGAACAAAGCTGCTGACTGCAGAGGAGTGCGGGTAGGTCTACTGTCACACTTAGTGGCATGTTGATGAGTATCAGGTCATTGCTGGTCAATGGGCCCCCCATGGCCCCTCTCCACATTTAGTGGACCCCTGCACTTCCCTCTCAGTAGTAAAGAGTTGCCGCTGGCACTTGGCCACATTTCCAATGTGCTTCTCACCAACAGAACTAAAAGTACTTTAAATGGACTCATTGTCCCATGAAATATTGCAGCTGATGACTTTGAACTGGTGAAGAAGTTGCTTTGCCATCCACATAAAGCATAATTGTATAGACATTATAACAGAATTGACACTCAGCATCCAGTACAGCTTCACAATGCAAATGAAATGAAAGCTACTAATAATGATGCATTTTCCTCAAAAGCTCGTGCCATTGCATACAGTGAAGCAAGCTGCTGTTCAGATGGATTCCTGTCAAGCAGGACAAGCAATGATGTGGATGAGAGGAGGAGCCCTGTCGGCATGGACTTTGTGCGGAGAACTGTTTTGGTGGAGGTATGTTTATTAGTCATATATACTAGTAAATATGGTGTTTTGGTGAAAACTATTCTAATTGTATTTTCTTTCTCTTGTAGCCAGAGGGCCTTCCCAGGGAATATACTTACAGTGTATTTTTTTGCCCAAATGGTCTGTGTAAATACACTATTTCCTATTTTACAATTCTGATTATTGTTTATGAGATTTATTTGTTTTCTCAGAGAGAATCCACATTTCAACCCCAAATAAGTATGAGTATCAGTATGTAAAAAAACCAGCCCGCATGAACCACTTCCAGGTGGCTGTGAAGACTCACAATGATGCACACTTTGCCCTTTCGCCCAGTCCCCATGACAGTGCAGAGATGGTAGAGATTGTGCTTGGAGGCAGACAAAACACTCGATCCTGGATTTCTATTGGCAAAATGGGTGACCCTGTCAGTAGTGTTGCAACTCCAAGCATCCTGTCCTGGGATGAATTTCGGAGTTTTTGGATCAGCTGGAAAGGGGGAATTGTACAGGTAGGAACTTCTAAATTACTGTCTTTATCCCTCAATAGTATTGGTCCTATCATACCTCCCTAACATCTGGACTCAGAAATAGAAGTTATACCATAACAGGCTTCATCGTGAAAAATGTAATAAACAGCAAGTTTAGTTTGAGTCATGGCGGTCTCGTTGACAGGATACTATGTGAGCACATGGTGTGTGTTTGCGTTAGGAGAACTGGCGCCTCTTTTACTGGCATGCCATTCTCTAAGGTCACGCTTAACAGGCTGCTGTCACTGTGGACTCTCTGATCAATGACCTGGTGCTTGCATGGCAGTCAGCGATTGGCACACCAGTTACAGGCCCCAACATTAGCTGCGCATCATTCACCAAAGGGAGCAATTATAAGAGCTCCACTTGGTCCACTACTAGACTCTAATAGGATTCATTTATCTTCCCGCGACCATGGTGTTTTGGCATCTATGACTTAAGAGCTTTTAGATGACTTCAAAGTAAAGTCTAACTTTTGTTTAAATGGTAACTTTACTTATAACATTGGTTGAAAATAGTACAGTGCAATTGAAATTTGTAAAACTCATTATCTAGCCCAGATTAGAACATAATCAAAATTATGGAAATCAACATAATGTTAATATACTGTATTTGGTTTTGTTAGGTTGGCCATGGTTTGCAGCCATCTAATGACTCAGTAATTCTCTACTGGGCTGGTCATGGTGCGGGACAGGTTTGTATGTTTCTTTAAAATTATATATTTTTTTGTCAATTTTATAAGTATCATTTGATCTTTTATCTAGGTGCGTCACATTGGCTTCTCAACAGGTTGGGGTTCAGTTGGAGAGTTTAAGATATGGAAAAAGGAGGACTCAGAGGAGAACCACAATGAAGCTTTCACTCTTGGTGTTCCACACAACGTGGTCCCTGGATCTGAGAGAGCCACAGCCTTTATGATTGGTTTGTGTGTAAATGTGATATTTATTATACCTTCTTATTGTTTTAAGAAATACAACAGACATGTTTTGTACATAGGGGATGTCATGGGACCAACTTTGAATAACCTGGATAAGCTGTTGCGGTTGCCATTTGGATGTGGTGAGCAGAACATGATCCACTTTGCTCCCAATGTTTTTGTCCTCAAGTATCTACAGAAAACACGGCAGCTCAGCTTGGATGTTGAAAGTGAAGCTACTGATTACCTCCTGCAAGGTAGTGAACTCATAGCACTGATATTTGCATTATGTCATGTACTTTCCTTTGAATAATAATGCATTGTATATTGTAATTGAAGAACATCCTAGAGATTATATCACACTTAAACATTTGTTGAATGGATTTTGTGAATATTGTGAGTTCAAATAGTTGAAATAACTCTGTTAAGCTGGATGTCTTGATTTCACTACTTCTTACATATTTTACTTTTTCAGGCTACCAGCGACAGCTGACCTACAAACGTCAGGATGGATCGTACAGTGCCTTTGGAGAAAGAGATTCTTCTGGCAGCATGTGGTAAGTCGCTGGAGTGTACCTGTGCAAATAATGTGCTGTGTTGTAGCTGCCCATATTGAGCTGGAAGACCTCATCTCATTTATAAACTATTAGGTGTATCACATGGGCACTGAGAAAACAAAAACACTAGATAATTTTATTCCAATAGTTATTCATTTGTAAAAAAAATATGTCCATTCCTTTTGTTGCCTGAACACTCTTGAACAAAGTTCTATTAAACCATTTAAATTTAGAGCTTGTGAGGATGTAACTAGCTGTGTTTTGTAGTTGCATTTGAAGGCCAGGGCAACAGTGCGCTGTGGTCAACACAGATGGTGAACCTTCTATAAACCTGCAGCAATACACTTCATTAATTAATTGCACTCAAAACAAGCGAACGTTAGGCATTGGTTTCAATGTTCACAAGTTTAGCCACAAGTTAATGCCCACTTAAATGCCTGATTCAGTGTTTTTCTACAGCCTATAAAATATGCCACTCTGGAAATCATTAGGATATAATGAAATTATTACAAAACAGATACAACCTGGCAATAATAATTTTGATTTTTTATTGCTTGCTCTATCCAATCTTTTAGCACCTAATGAATCAAAAACATTTAAGGTTATTCAGTTCCTCTTTGCAAATTAGAGTTATTAGTAATGCTTTATGTTTAGGGATATGTTGGGGAAATAATTCAAGGTGAGATGCAGAAGACTCTGGATGTCTAACTCAGGAGAAGTTTCTTATTTATCAGTATGAGCCGGAGACATGAAAACTCACTCGTCGTGGTAGCATTGTCCATTGAATTTTGGCCCTTCTTCATTATATATTATATATTGTAAACTCTGATAACATAAGTCATAGGAAAAAGCTATTCATAAAGAAATATCAGCAAGAACCAAGCAGGAGGTGGCTTTGGTGCAGCTGTGATTTGGGAAAAAAGTCACCAGAGATCATAAACTGATCATAGACTGGGGTCTTCTGTGTAACCACTGAAAGTTGGGCTGTACATTCACTCTTCATTCTTTGACCTACATGTTGAGGCTGGCATGGCATTTGAGCCTGATCTGACAGTTTTAACAGAGTTTGTGAGTTGGGGGGGCTGAATACCAGAGATCAAAAGATCAAGTTAAGTAAAGGTACACTTTATTGTCCCCATAGGGACTCTACATTTAACCTATCCTTCAGTGCCACTGGGGCAACCAGTCAGAAAGAGAAGGTGCCAAAATGCAGCATCTAGGAACTAGCTGGAGGACGCCACCTTTACCTGGTTATTTTTTGGTTATGTACTATGCTAAACATTCACCTACCTTTCCTGACCACTTTCATACTAGCAATGCTGTTGAAGTGCCTAGACTAAGGACACAACAACAGAACTTGGTCCACTGAGCCACCGTCACACAAAACCATTTAAGCCTACTCAAATTTTCACTTTAAGCACTTGGCAGCACTGGGGCTGCACTCACAGCAAAGAGGGTCCAGGTTTGACTTCTAGGTCACCCAGGCCTTTATGTTTTGAGTTTGCATGTGGCTAGTGTCTGGATGGGTTTCCTCCAGGTACTCTGTTTACTCCACAGACCCAAAACATACTCAATTGCACAATTCTCCAGCTAATGTAGTCCTGACTAAGCCTAACTCAAGATCTGAAAATGGATTTGTGGGCACTGTACTGAGGTACCACATGCTCCTGACAGGTTGCCCCAGTGGCATTGAAAGGACAATAACATGTACCTTACCTCATAGAAGAACAGGCCATCACTAAAGTTATTAGGTTCTTTTTTCAGACCAAGAGTTTGTGTTCATGCCTGTTTTGACTGCTCCCTGCAGTCTTCCTCAGAGTGGTCACGTGTTGTTGCTGTGACGTGTCCGGTCAGCTGATTTAAACAGGTTTTGGCGCTGTCTTCCTTCTGGTGGAGGCTAATGACAGCGCTATCTGCAGTCCAACTTCTTCAGGACAGTATCCCAGGTGTGTGAGAGTAAAAAGAGTAATATACAGACAGAAGGAGGGCTTTGCCATGGGGTACCCCTTATCCACCATTATGAGAGGGTTCTTCACGGAGGACCTGGAGGAGAAGGCCATAAACACAGCACCAATAGAATGTGGACTCATTATGTGGAAAAGATACTCAGACGACATACTAGAAAAAATCAGTAAGGGACACACACAGGAGCTAGCAAACCACCTAAACACAATAGACAGCAGTGGAAACATCCATTTCACACATGAAGAAGAAGCAAATAGTACAATACATTTTCTGGACATGAACATCATGCACAGGGAAGATGACAATATGAAATTAAAAATACCTAGAAAATCAACCCACACTGACCAAAACCTCTTACAGCCTACAAACTCTCCGTCGTAAGAACATTATTTGACAGAACCAACTTTATAATAGATGCACAAGACAAACAGGAAGTAGACAGACACATCCACAACACACTGAAGCAATGCCAATACCCAAAATGGGCAATAAACAAAGGAAAACAACAGGTCAGAGAGAGAGAAAAAAAAAAACAGAACCAGAAAAACAAAAATAAAACTGAAAAAAGAGCACAGGCATGGTAACATTACATTATATTACATTACATAAGGGACATAACAGAAAAAGTGCAGAGGGACAAAAAACACAATATCAACACACCGAAACCATACAGAATGCGAGAAGGAAACCGTGAAGGCATGCACACGAGCAACAAAACAGCAGAACAGGAACAACTCAAATCGGCCATGTCTGACCACTGTAAAAGAGAGAACCACATTATGGACTGGAACGTAGCAAACATCATTGGGACAGAGGACAACAAACATGATCCCTGGATTAAAGAGGCAATTGAAAATATGGAAGCATGCCCATATGATTATAAACCAGAATGAAACTCTTGGTCTGAAAAAAGAACCTAATAACAAATGATTGGAAGACCAAATGAATCTCGTTGGACTAGGCCATCACTCAGTTTCATCATCTCAAACCCCTAAATACAGTATATACACTGGTAACCTGCTGCGCCTTTACTTGTCTGGCTAGACAGACCCTTCACCATGAACAGTACTATACAAATGAAATACAACACCCTAGAACAAGACTTAGATGGTATGTACCCAGGGCCTCAAATTTTCTGCAACTTCCCAGATCACAACATAAGTATACTTTAAAATAACTATTTACATTGTTTGATATCTATGTTTTTAGTTCAATATCTCAAACCATGAAAATGTATTTCCACAGATTATAACATTTTCTAGCAGGGCTTCAGCTGTATAGGCCTCCAGATTCTAGTCAGAAAAAAATGTATGCTTCAGTTTTATGAGAGAAGAGTTGTTTTTTCTTCCTCACCTCCCCTGGTGCTCACTGCTCACAGTTGTATTGGGAAAGGAGAACATGACCCCCTTGTTTATTTCTTAATTTCCATTGAGTAACATGTTTTAATGGAGTAGCATACCTGCTCTCCTATGTCACTGGCCCTAATATAATGCCTTATTGTCATTATGATACTGAAGGTAATTTTGGTAATTGGTCACTAACAGGGTTTGTTGTTCTAGTTAAATTTTTTTTGACTTAGCCGTTTCCCCCTAGGAACTTTATGATTGTTCCTCCATTACCTTTTTGAACATATTGGTATTTTCATGGTTGTTTACAGTCTGACATTTCTCCAGGTTAACTGCCTTTGTTTTGAAGTCATTTGCTCAGTCCCGGAGTTTTATTTTCATTGACCCTGAAGAGCTCCGTTCGGCTAAGTCATGGCTTATCAAGCATCAGCATGAAGACGGCTCCTTTCCTGCCATGGGCCGCATCCTTAACAAAGATCTCCAGGCAAGTTTCATGTGTTCATTTTGTCAAAGCAGAAGATACCCTTGTGAATAATTGCACAAATGTCATTATTGTGATTATTTACTTACTAACTTCTGGCCATTTTATCAAACATATATGATTTACCACAGGGAGGTATCCATGGAAAGATATCACTTACAGCATATGTGGTGGCAGCTCTCTTGGAGACAGGAATAACAACAGAGGTACGTGTACAAAGAACATTTCATTAATTTCATGATCATAACTACAAAAAGAGACTGTGAGACTGATGGCAAAAGGAAAGTCACTGATTACCTTATGACCGTGTGTAATATTTAATATTTATTACATGTATTATTAGTGTCTCATTGCTAATTTTAAACCACAGCCTGAATGATGTATAGAATATGTATGTTTTTAAACTTCATGGCTTTTCAGACTTTTTCTTATTTGAACCCAAGAGGCCTGCACAAGATCCCCAATGTGTATGGACCTTTCTGTGTGTATACATGGCAAATACATTTCTTAAATCTTGAGTATGGACAGTGCACCAGAATTATTACACATGTTATAGTACAACTAGTGACAAGACAAAGCTCCAAACAAATATAGAGTATGTTATGGCATAATTCAATGGTGTCTAATTCCGCCACAAAAGATCACAAGCTAGTGCGTTGTTTACTGGTCCAAGATAAATGATGAGTGTACCAAGAAGGGCATGTACCATTAAAGCTGCCAACTTTATAAGGCAGTAATTGCACAAATCAGTGCCAACATAAAGCTATAAACACTATACTACCTTTGGTTTGAATTCATGTGCACTAAAATGACACATCTTTCCAGGAAGAGAAGGTTGCAGTGACTAAAGCCAAGGATTTCCTGGAGAGCAACATTTACTCTGCTGATGATCCTTATACCACAGCCCTGTCTGCATATGCCCTAGCACTGTTACGCAGTCCATATGCCCCTTTGGCTCTGCGCCGTCTCAACCACATGGCCATCACACAAGGTACTCGCAACTTCACTAAGTAATACAGAGAATCAGGTGGATCTGCACTTCCACTGTTAATTAGTTTCATATATTTACATGCACAGTTTAGTTTATTGTTTGTTTGTTTTGTTTTTTCAGATGGACTGACCCACTGGAGTTTGACTGGCAGCACTATGACAGATGAGGACACATTCATGGGCTTTAATGATGGCCTTTCCCAATCAGGTATTTCAAAGTGCCTAAAATGTTTTATAGTAAATGGTTATTTTCCTATGACTAACAGCTTAATACTCCTCTTCCTCAGTGGTGTCTGCAGAGGTGGAGATGACAGCCTATGGTCTTCTTACATACACTCTGCTGGGAGATGTAGCCTCTGCTTTGCCTGTGGTTAAATGGCTTTCTAAACAGAGAAATGCCTTGGGTGGTTTTTCCTCCACACAGGTGGAATTAACTTATTAACAATAATTATTAATGATTCATTCAGTTCCATGTTATAAAATATAGTTTTCTTCTAAAATGATTTGATAGGACACATGTGTGGCTCTGCAGTCGTTATCAGAGTATGCAATACTGTCTTACGTCGGAGGGGTCAATCTCACCATCTCTTTAGCCTCAACCAACCTTGACTTCCAAGAGACATTTGAACTTAACAGAGACAACAAGAAACTACTTCAAAGTGCCAAGGTAAATACTATTGTAGAACTTTAAAAAAAAATGTATATGAAAAGATGGTCTTGGCACATTAGGACATAACATTGCAGCAGCTATCTTGGTCAGTGAAAAGCTTTATATGAAACAGCTCAATTGAGACAGAGTTGCAGGTTTAGATGCACAAATGGTGCTGCCACAGCTCACTGCTCTTATTCACTTGATAAATTACTCACTTAGCATGTTTTGCCCTCCCTGATTTTATATCTGCTTTGTTCCAGATCCCTAGCATCCCTACTGGTCTATTTGTGAGTGCCAAAGGAGAAGGGTGCTGTCTTATGCAGGTATTGTAGAGTCAATACCTGTGTCAACTGGTAACTGATCATGGTCTCTATTATCTACAACTAACTGCATTATATTGTTTGCATATTATTTGTTCATATTGGCCAGAACAGTAAGTTAATGAACATAAGCCAGTGCTTTGTCCTGACATATAGCACTAGCAGAAGTGTCATAGTTTCTTATTGGTAAAAAATTTCTTACCTCTTCCTATCTTTACTTTCTCTCTCCCTCCTCTCTCCATACCAAATTGTGTGCTTCACCCTAAAGCCCTCAGGCTAGCAGCACCTGGACTATAATGAAATACAAACGCACCAACATCAGAAAGTTCTGCTTCTGTGTGTTGATATTACGGATCTACAGTGCCTTGCATGTACTGGCTTTTTACATCAAAACCATAAGTGCCAGAAATACTTATTTAATTGTATTTGACAAAAAAGTCTCCTAAATGAAAGAGCACAAAAATAAGGGAGGTTTTCTTTTCTTCGTGATACAACATGAGGTACCCGGAACCATTATATTTATATTAGCATTTAAATTATGTAGTACATTCATTAATCTGAATAACCATTTTAAAACATTTGTGTTTATATACTTCGGCACCCTAACAAACACTAGTCAGAGAATTATATTTGTGAGCACTGTTGCCATCATTGGGGATGTCAGATGTTCATCACAGTTCATGGAATTAATGTGAGACACTTACAACAGACTAAAATAAATAATTGCTATGTCAGTTGACTTAATGAATGCTTTGGTTGTTGAAGATCATTTTGAGTTTTCTGTGTTTACACAGATAGATGTGTCTTACAATCTCCCAGACCCAGCATCAAAGCCAGCCTTCTATCTGAAGGTGGACCTAAAGGAGGCTCAGGAAAGACATCTCCAGGTCCCTCCACCATCTGTCCGTCACAATAACCCGCGCCCCCGGAGTCGTGCTGACAACCGCTCTGAACTCAACCGCAAACGCAGAGCTCCTGTGGAGGATGATGACCCAGCAGCACATCAGGACAAAATGGACCTCCATGTCTCTTTGGAGGTTTGTGCAAGGTAATGTCCATTTTCTGAGAAGATGAACCACACATACTTCACAAACTATTATAACAGGTTGGTTCTGGTCTTAGGTGGCTCCATTCAGGTTCATCCAACATGGCCGTCATAGAGGTTCCTATGTTATCAGGCTTCAGAGCAGATGTGGAAAGTCTGGAGAGGGTATGCACTTCAATTTTAACGGTTTTAAACACTAACAATCCCTTTTTTGTTAAGTTTGTATGTATGAAAAAATAAGAAAGTTCTAATCTAATCAATTCCTTACTTTCTGCAGAAAGTGTAGTTAAATGGGACAGTTAATTCATATTTAATCCATGAAGTAAACAGAATTGGGGATGAAGGCAATTTCTCTTGATACAGGTCATCTCCCAAAGTGAACCACAGACAAATGCCCTCATTACTTAAAGGAGGCTGCTCCTGTAAAACAGCTGGTCGTACCTGGGGAGATGTTAAAGCCAGCACACTGCTGGTGTGTGTCAGCTGAAGCTGACCTGGGCTCTTGTGGCTGACAAGCTCAGTTTACACCCCTTTGGCCTCCCTTTGAGTTTTACTGCTGCTTGCCGGACTGCCACTTACATTCCTCAATTTATGGTGGCAGGCTCCCCTCCTGCCTTATACTTTATGCTTTCACTGGTGATTTAGTTGTGAATAATTAGTTGGTGAATAATGTTTATTAGAGATTCTGTCTCCTATGAGTTATTTCAATTTCCTCCACTGGCAAAGACTATCCTCATGCTGAAATGGACTGTATTGTGACATCTCTCATTCATGCAAGTGCAAAAAGTACATTCATATTCACACTAATTAAGGGCTCTATCCTGACTTATTTTTGTGTCCTTATTTTAACTCATGTAATGGGAGAGCAGTTTGTTTACGGTGGCCACCATGCAAAGTTTAATATAAATGCAAGGAAATACAATGAAAATGGCAAAAACGATCAATCACTAATTCTGTATTAGAAGGCAAAACCAACTTCTGAGTTTCTATATTTTCAGCTGCTGACAGACAAGAGAGTGGGCTTAAAACGGTATGAGCTGAGTGGGAGAAAAGTATTTTTTTATTTTGATGAGGTAAGATTTTAAAGTTTTACTTTCTCTGTTATATTTTTGGATTCATCATAATTGAAAAAAACAAGTTTCATGTGTTCAAAACATACCTTTCAGATCCCTAGTCAGTGCATTACGTGTGTGGGCTTTCAAGCTGTCAGGGAATACATTGTGGGCAAGACAGCACCCGTACCGGTCAAGATCTATGACTACTATGAACCAGGTGTGCCTCTGATAAATATTCTCTTTAGTAGTTACTGAGCCAAGTTTTTGTGATTTATGAAGTTACTCCTTATGAAATTGAAGTGGTTTTATTTGTATGGCCTACTTTTGGTGAGTGGATGTGTAAACATGTTTTCTGTACTGCTCTTGTGCAGCATTTGAGGCGACACGCTTTTACAACGTGAGCGAGAGCAGCCCATTGGCTCGGGAGCTGTGTGATGGTCCAACTTGTAATGAGGTAGAGAGTTCAACCAACCAGTGGATAGGTGTGTTTATTTGTAAATGTCTTAAGTACGTATGATCCAGTAGATTAATAAACAGAATAAATATTCATTATATTAATTGTTATAGGCTTTGTACAAGGGAACCATTGTAATAATGTGTTTGGGTGTATGGAGGAAGAACAGTTTGAGCGCTGCACTTGCTACAGAGACTGCGGTTATGATGGAGAGCCAGTCTGTGGGTCAGACGGGCAGCTTTACCAGAACCAGTGCCAAATGGATGTTTTTGCTTGTCGAAATAGTACTCAAATCAAGCAGGTTCCAATGTCCCTATGTTCACACAGTAAGTGCTCACACATAACACAACTCATGACTGTGTATCTGTGCTTTTACCACCAGACAGAATGACTTGACTTTACACAGCTGTTCAGGTGTTCTGTTGATTATTGGATGACTTTTTTTTGTTTTTGGTTTAGTCCGCCCGCAGTGGCCCCTGCACCCTTGCTTGCTCCATGCTGTATTACAGGGCTCACCAAATGAGAGAGTGCTTTTGTCCAGTCCTTTGAAATCTTTGTCACATTCCTTTCCGACGCACAGCCCAACAACAAAGGAGCCTTCATGTTCTGAAGCAGATTGGGAAAAGACATAGACAAAACTATGGCGGGATTAGACCTGGGAATGTGCCAAATGCTTTGGAATTATCAACTTGATCATTTTATTTATTTATTTATTTATTGTGTGTCTTGTCTCATTTGTTTGTAAACGACTGAGGACAAACATGATCTGTTGATCATGTGACTAACTATATGTTTATGTTTTCATGTGTTTCTTAGTGGTGACCACAGTTGAGGACCAGACACCAGTGGCAAATCAGCAAACAGAGCAGCCCTCTGTGCCAGTACACACAGGTAGATTTAACTGCTACTCTATCACATTTTCATACACTCGCCGATTCTAGACTAGTTTCTCCAAACCTTTGTGCTCTGATGGAAAAGCTGAAGTACAGAATGTGTGGTTTTAACATTTATGTTTGTTATTGTGGTAAAGGGTGAGATCACTGAGGTAAGAAGAAAAGCACCAACAGATGAAAGAGCGAGTGAGGGCAGTTAAAAGGTGAAGGTCAGCGAAGTATCAGCCAAAGACAGGTGGAGAGAGCATGACATCAAGAGCAGAGAATGAAAAGGGAAAAGATGCACATACCACTCCACCCACATCATGGATCTGCATTGGAAAGAAGTCTCAGTCAGCGTTAATTTTCAAACCTGGAGCTATTGAAATATCTGCAGTAGACATGGCTTTTACATTTGCTGCACAACAGCACAGCTCTCATTCAGTCTGTGGGTGTGTGAAGCACACATGAGCATAGAACAAGATAAAGGGTGGCCTATTAATGACTGCTGTGTGTATAAAGTTGTTCGACCTGCACTGACTTGCCTCATGCCTGCAGCCCCTGGTAGCTGCAGTTCACAAAGCTGCTCTCAGTCTCCTTTAATACAAAAGCTTCACACTCACCTCAGGAATGCTGTTATCCAATCACATTTACTTGTGCAAAATCATATAGAAGTGTATGCACACACCTGCTCACAATGCATGCTTACACAGGCAGATCTGCGCTCACATGTACCAAGCTGCAATGAGATAAGCTTAATGCATTCATTTCATTTCAAGTTCTTTGTAAACCATTAGAGCAGAATGTGGACGGCATACCTGATAAAGTGCACAGAGAGTGTAATAGTTGAAGACAGGATCAGCCAAAAAACTGTCACTCTTCACTACAAAGTAAAGCACAGGAATTAGTTTCCATGCAGGGACTTGTCTATTAGCTAACTTGTAAAAGAGGACGACATAAAATGTAGTTTCACCATTTATATGCAAAATATACATGAGTGGGTTTGAGCAGATAAAGTATGGAGACTCAAGGGTATGATACAGCTGTTAACCCAAACTTGCCTATAATAAAACTGAAGAGTTATTTATCATCACGTCATGGAATTTCAAGATTCTAGTAACAGAGGGCCCCCTGCTGCCTCATTAAAGTATTGCTACTGCTGGTTTGCAGTGGTCAGGATAATATAACATGTTAATGTGTTTATTATGCTCAACATTATCCCACTCAAGTCTAGTAGTTTGTCAGATTGACTAAATATCAAACTCCTTTCCCTTCCTTTTTTAAATTACCACTGTTGAATTGTCTAATGTCTGTAATCTCATATCCAGGTGAGGAAGATCAGGTATCGATAGCAGAAGTCTCCTATTATTCCTATGAGTATGACACGGACTCCGAGCCATTTCTTGCTGATGTTGATACAGGAGATCAGCTTTATCTTCCTGTTGAAGCAGGGATGGATTCCAAGATTCCTACAGATATTCAGCTACCAACACCAGACACAAGAACCAGTCCAGAGCGATGGTACAATAATCATTTTGTCAATATCTTTTGTAGAATTGTTGAATTGTAAATATAAATGTTGATTTCTTTTTTTCTGCAGAAAAAACTGTCTGAGCTCACCTTCAAATTGTACATTATTTGTGAATATGCAAATGGATAAAAGACCAGAGACACAGTGAGGGTCCATCTGACTGAGAGGCCAGAGTCTGGAGAAGGTTCTTGGTGTGAAAGTGTATGTGAGAAGTGTGAATGATTTACTTGTATATTGAAATTAGACTCCTCCAGACTTCAGTGCAACAAGTATTCTCTCAATTGTCCTGCCTTATAATCACTAGAGGAATCAAGTATTTATATTTGTAATTACACTAAAAACAAAATATTTTGTAATATTTTTGATGGTATTTATTTGTAGTTTTAAATCTGTGTTACATTTTGCCAGAACTCATCTGTTCTTTTTTACTCTGCTACCTTATTGCTGCTTCACTTCCTATTGTGTCAAAGATGTTTTTCTTACATAGCAAGCTTTAACCCAGTTGATGAAATGCTGATAAAATTCTTGTGCTGGTATCCTGCTGGACATAGACATATGCTAACCATATGCTTTACAGGATCATAAGCTGAAGTGTTTTGGGCTGCACAATATTAGATATAAATATACACAAAATATCTTTGTTGATATTACTTTTTAATCCATTAAGTACTGCAAAGGTTACACTTGTTACATTTCAAAAAAACATTTCTGCTATACATTGTGCAGCCCCCAGACAGGCAAAGACTGGACCTTCTCCAGAATGTACAGATGGAACACATGTTGTACAGACTATAAGCTATTGTATTTTGAATTCGAAAGCAATTGTCGTCAATCAAGAATGAAGTTTTTAATTTGTGTAAATGTTCCAAAATTTGAAAACTGCAGCCCTTTTAATGTGCCTTTAATCAAATAACAATAAAAAGTAAAAAGTGTACATTTCTGAATATTATTTGTCTAGCCAAGGTTTAGTACCATATCAGAGCAACGCAGAGAGAAAGGGGGGCATACTGCAGTTGTTTATGAATGCTGTGTGGCTCCATTTCCTTTCTAAGGCAAGTTATGTCTGGAGATAGTTTCCTGTCAGCCACTGCCAGTGTAATAAGCATGTTTCTTAATAAGGCCATGTGCTTTGATACATGCTTCTCTCTGACCCCTACCGTGTTTTAGGGAGAGACATAAAACGTGTATAGGCAAATACATCTCAAACCATTGGACGTGTGTGCTGTGTTGTGTTTGTTCACTGCTAACAACAGATTCCGGTTACCAAAGCAGCGGCTGTGAGTGGGTTCGCCTCTGTTAAAGTTTAATGTTTGTTTTTCTGCTCATGTCACTTGTCATCCATCTCAGCTCAACTGTGGCCCCTGGCAGAGCAGGCTCATAAATTGCCAGTACAAATCATCATTTGCATTAGAGCAGATCAAAGAGACCTGAAAATAGTGTAACAACATCTGAGAGAGTGTGTGTGCTCTCACTTCCAGAAGTGTGTTTCAGCTGCAATTCATGAAACACATCAACAACTCAAGATAAAAAAGGAGGCCGTGTCTGCTTCACATGTGCTGAACTGGGACTGACCCGGCATCTATGTGATATTAATAGCATTCACGAAATATGGAAAATAAACATCAGTCTCTATTTTCACCAATTAAAGGTGTAACTTTTCTGTTGTCTGCTGGTCTCCATGGAGACGTTCTTGGTTTGTCTGGAATGTTCCACAGTATGGTATTGAACTAATCTTAATTTTATTCAATTATAGGTGTTTTATTGCTAGAAACATAATGTGAAAACATGCATTCTTTCTGTGAGTGGGGTCTCCTCTCCACAGATTTGACCACTAACCTGGCCCGGTGGCATCAACTGCTTTTCCCAGAGGAGTTATACAAGCTTTATTCTGCACTGTGAAACCAGGCTAATCAATAACACCTCCATGAAGACCAGCAGGTGGTGGAACTTCTACCAGGAAAGAGACGTGGTGCACCCTTAAATCAGCAAAATCAGTGTAGAAAGTAACTTACTATTTAACTGACTAAATTTAATAGCTGAAGAAGTCCTGGCATTATTGTTAAAAATGTGTGTGCTAGCACTAGAACATCTAACTAAACTGAGTCTTTATCAAAAGGTCAATACCTAACTGTCTGCATTAGTCTCCCTGGTAACTTAATGCATGGTTGAAGAGTGATATTGCTTCTCCACACTGCAATGAGCAGAAAGAGTGAAAAGAGAAAGCTGGCAGAGGGGGATCTTGGTTTCATGGCTTTACTGTGGGGGAGCTAGCATTACATGAGAGTGAATCCGAGTGATGACATTGTTCTTTGGAAGCAGCTGAGTGCGCCTTTACATGCAGCTCTGTGGTGGACGGGCCATTCACTCATCAGTGACAGGCACTGGAGAGTCTGGATAAAAACGGGGCAGCTGGCATTTGGATGGATTTTGGAAGAATTAGGGATATATACACTGGTCACTACTGTCAGTATTGAACTGTCGACTTACAATGCAGCAACCCAGAGAAAATATTGAATGACTACACAAAAATTCAAGTTTGTAATAAGATAAAAGGTGCTCTAGAGATGGAGAAGAATTATCCACCAATTGCAGGAAAAGAAAAAGGTAGGAATTTTGTCTTAATAAATGGTCTTAATGCATGCTTTTGTGAAGTCTATTAAGGTGTAATTTATTTAATTTGTAGGACCAGGGCCTGGTCATTATGGGCTTCCTCCCACCATTGGATTTATTGGTCATGACTTTACGAAACCAACAAGTCCAGCATATTCCTTCCATGGTCGAATGAGTAGCAATAGTAAGCTAACCAGTTATTAATATCTAATATATGAACATTACATGCATCAAGACTTTCACATTGTAATGTCAACTTTTCAACAGCAGGGGGAGATATAGCCCCAATTATCTCAAACTTATAGTCACATTAAAGTGATTGTTTTTTTCTTTTTTTTTAGTGTACTCCGTTGACTCTAGTCCTGGGCCCATGTATCATATCAGTGCCAAAATGACTAGATTTGGGAAAGATGGAACACCTGCATTTTCAATGTTCAGCAGAATGAAAGCCCAAAGTAAGTGAAATTTTGATTGTTATTGCAGTTACTACAACTGATAATAATAATTAAACTACAAAATGATTATGTTATACATAACAGAGGACCTTCTGCAGACCCCAGGCCCAGGCACATACAGCCCTGAAAAAGTCCCACCATGTAACCTTCAGCGCCGCCCCCCTCACTACACCATGGGCTCTCGCACACTGTACCGCACTGTGGATGCAGTACCTGCCCCTAATAAGTACTGCCTACCGCCACTTATGGGCCCCCAAGTTCCAAACAAGCCAGCCAGCGCATGTTATACCATGTCTGCAACTTATCCCTCTGGAGGACCAGCTGTGGACCTGGCAAAGACCCCAGGACCATGTGGGTACAACAGCACAGATCCAAATGTTTACCTGCCTCGTCAGCCAGCATTTTCTATTCTGGGGCGTCACACTTTACCAAAGGATCACACCAGGAAACCAGGTCCTGGAACATATAACCCAGAAACTGTGACAGTCCACAAAGCCCGGGCTCCTGCATACTCCTTAGGCATGAGGCACTCTGAATTCATCACACCACTCGTCATACATTTACCTGATTGAAAACAGCAAGTAATTTTAATGTACAAAGTACATTTATTTTTTTTCAGTAGAGGCCTTACATGACCCTGATCAAAATATCTACAAAATAAATGAATGCATATATGTACATATACAGAAATATCAACAAAAAACATTAAAACATACTTGAAAAATGCTGGGGTTGAGAAAAAATAAAACAATGCATTTAAACCATTTTGATAACAACAAAATGATTGCATTTTTAAAAGCAACTCACTAACTGCAATCAGTTGCAATCAGCAATTTGGAAGAACAGTAAAATAAAGTTTGTCATTACCTCATAAAAACTGAGGTGACTGAAATATCAATAAACTAGAGGATTGCAACACTATAAATTAGGACAAAAGATATAGACTGTAGTGTGTAAACTGTCCAAAGACAATGACAATCCAGGAGATAGTGGCTGTAAAATACGGGAGCTTCATTCCTTTAAATCCTTGGGGAGGGGTCTTCTAAAAAGCAGTATGTGTGGCTCTGAAAACACAAACATACAAGATGACAGTTTTCATGGCAAATTAACCTGGCCACATAACCCCCTCTGTGTTTTATTTGACACTTGGATGTGTTTCTTTGGATTACCTTCAACAAATAAACTTCTGCTTAGCTATGCATTATGCAAGGCAGATGCAACCATTTATTGCTTGAGTAGACTCGTTTGTCAGTTGAAATTTAGGGCAAACACCATTGGAGAGGACTTCTTTCTTTTACTGTAACACATCTATAGTGTCCTATCTGTGAATAAGAGGAATCGTACCTGGCTTGTGTACCATGTAGTGCATCCAGCCCGGGCTCTGCTGCACTCCGAGTCCCCTCCATTCCTCCTCTGTCATCAGATGGGATGTAGGCACCAGTTTCGCCAGCTGCTTTGGAAGTACCACATGCCTGTGGGAGTTTTGGGTATAAAACCGGTTTAAAAATACTACGTGCAGCGCGTGTGAACTTCGTGTGATCCGCAACCAAGCGGGAGATACAGTTTGTCAGTTACCAAAGAGCTAACAGCTATTAGCATAACAGCCTTTTATAACAGCCCCTCGCTTATGTTCCACATATCACCAAGTGTGGTTAGTCAAATTGACACGAACATTTTCTTTTGCGTTTGGGGATTTGGAGTTAAATAAAGTTATCATTTTGACTAGCGAAAACAACATGCCAAACTCGCAGACGTTAGCAAGTTGTTAGCACCAAATTGTGTCATTTTTATTCTTACCTGTACTCAAAATCGTCATCGGTATATTTATCAGAATAATATATTTGCTTTTTCGACATACTTAGTCGACAATAAAGTCCAGATTAATGATATCTTGTTTGTTTCTCGCCCAAAAAGTAAAAAAAAACGGCACTAAAAAACACTGGCGCTGCTGCTGTCATCTGCCGCTGTTTGTTTGGAGGGGACGATTCAAAACTTCAACGGCCACCGCTCTGCTCTGATTGGTCACAAGTAGACACGGGGACGCAGCAGGACCCGCCCCTTTTGTCTTTTGGACAGAGATCGTCTATTTTTATAATGCGCTACTACTGCTGTTTAACTCAAGAATCTTATAATGAATCTTTATAATTGAAGTAGATTGTTGTTCTTTCTATCTAATTTGTATGTGCAGGATTGTGAAATTTGCCTTATTCATGACTTGAATTAATTAAACGAGGGACTGAAGTTATATTTATTTTCAGCTTTGTCATAACAACAGTGATGTTGAGGAGCTGTCGACCATGTAGTTCTTAAACTTTAAATCTAAAATAAATTTAAAAACTATAAATCCTATTTGCAGGTGGAACTTTGCTGTTGTAATTACGTTCGTCAGAACCATGATGCGAATTGCTTATTCAGAGCATGGTTTGTTCCCACTCTTAATGCTAATGAGCAATCCCAAAGGTAAACATTAGCTATTTACTGAGCCAATTACTGTTGAGGGACTAATGCATTTAACTTATTTTCTGGTTTTGTGATGATTTATTTGTTTGAATAACTTGTTTTGAACGCTAGGAGTGTTGACACAGTACCGGTACTGGCACAATTGCAATGTACTGATCAATACCACTGGTTTATCAGTAACTTTACTCTGTAGCTCAAGGTGATTGGCTGCATAAAAGAAGGAGGGTTAACAGTGGAGTGTTGCAACTTTTTAGAAAACATCTGAATAAGGAGTCACTGGATCACTTTGTCTTGACATAGTTGCAGAGTAAGTCATTTTCATTTCATTACAATTTTGAATTAGAATAAATTACTATAGGCTATATTTTTATGTTAGTTTAATATTGATAGGACAAGATCTCTTGATATAACGATAAAGAACACAACAGGAGTCGTATCCTATAGGCGATGCTCTGGCAAAGTAATGCCTAATTTTCTTTTTTTCCAGTCCTTTTTTTCAGAATCAATGTCACTATTTTAATATTTACTTTTTTGTTGTTTTTTAAGCTGCAAAATATCTGCTTTTATGACAATTGTGTCTTTGTGAATTTGCTGTGCTGAATGACAAAGCCTGTAATTTAACTTTTGGTTAAAATAATAGGCTTTATTTCATCATTTGAAAGTGCTTGTGCTCACAGCTGTGCAAGAATCAGTCTGATGGGTCCCCGGGGGAGCGCAGATGGGACAGGGTGGACTTTTGCCTTACGATCCTTTGTTTTTGTCTGTCAGAGAGATTAAATTGCAAGAGTGCACACATAGGCACTTAAAATAATTAGATGTAACTCATGCCAGTGTTCATTTTTTTTCACAGAATAGAAAAATAGATAGAATGCTTAGGTAGTTCATCTATAATTTATCTATCAACAAAAGAACACAAAGTCTGAAAGTAATAAATTGTAAAATATGTGTTACTCATGGTTTGAAAATGGGTGTTGTGTTGTTTATAATCAACTGTGATTATTAGAGAGTAGGATGGCCAAGGCAGATGTGTCTTAGCTAATACTGTCTAAAAGCAGCTGGGCAGGGCAGGGCTAATAGACTCAATGACATCATCCAAAGAGAGAAAGGGAGGGAGAGAGCACAGAGCAGCCGGAGGCTGTAAAAGCCACCAGGCCGGCACAGACACAGAGGACAGCGGCATGGGACCGTGTGTGTGTGCGGACTGCAGAGGACCTGACTGCCTTCACCTCCCTTTGACAGGAATATACTGCAGGGTTTGGGGACTGTCATCTTAGCTTTGGCCCTTTATTATTTTCACCTTTCCCCTTCCCTTTCCCCTCTTTCCTTTTTCTATCCATCTATCCTCTGGAAGTGACCCCCCCTTTTCAGCTCCTGCTACAGAAGGCTCTCCGGGCATGCTCCTTAAGCCAAAGTATGGCCGCTTTCGCAATGAGTCTGTGACCTCTTCTGAAGACCTGATGCAGAGCTTAGCCATGAGTGGCAAAGTGGTGGCCACACCAGTGGTATCTTCCTCCACGCCAAGCCTCCCACTGCCCCCCATGCCCCCTCTGGACCCTGGCCTCCGGTCCGCATCTGCATCTGGTGGTGCTGCAGCGCTGGCAGATTCGCCCTGTTTGGATGGGGAGCAGGATGGCACCACTACCTTCTGTATGCTCATCCCTAAAATGCCTCAGTGGAAGTTCTCCAACTCACTGCTCAGTCGTAGCCCATCTAATTCCAGCGCCAGCTCCAGCTCTAGCAAGGACTCAGGCAGAGCAGCAGGGCCGCTCTCACAGACTTCTGCCTCTCCTTCCTCCTCTTCCTCACACAGGCTAAATATGGCATCCAGCGGTCCGGTGGCCAGTCTGGCAGCTGTGCTTAACTCATGTGACCCTGTGTGTGTCACTCCATGTTCCTTACAGGCCATCCGGGGTCAAAGGGCAGTGGCATCAGCAAATTCGACCAACCCTGGTGGGCATAGCTTTGGGGCTACAGAGGCCATGGCGAGCCCTGGGAGTACTTTCAGCTGCAGGTCAGGACTAAGCCGCAGGACCAGAGGAGAGGGAGCAGTGTGGCTGGGGAATGAGGAATTCAGCCAGAAAAGCAGCTTCATCCACAAACCAACCCAGGGCTGGCTCCATCCTGACAAGAAGATTGCAGGACCAGGTGCCTCTTATATTGTCAGGGTGAGTCACACTATTCTTCTATAATGTCTGTACTTTTAACATTTCCGAACAGCTAAATCATGATGATCTATATAGCTTTCCCTGTGGGTATGGAGAGAGGCTGAGCAGAGGCTGAGCATTGCAGTTTATGAGGCAGGAGCTGAAGAATACATAATTTAATCAAGATAGAGGCTTGGTGCCCCTGCCTGGAGGACTGCGTCAGACAACACATAGGGTGGAGATAAACAATGCTCTTTCTATGGTGTATTAAGTAATTTATTATTGAAAAGGACATTTTGATTTGGATTTGTGCATCAATATGATAACACATTAAATGAAACCTATTAGAATGAGTATTAGCAATAGTACAATAAAACACAATACTGTCATGTGTTTACAAGGAACCTCATATTGCCTGCCTGCTTGGCTCCACCCCCTGCGCCTCTTCGCCTCCTCCTTCAGCCGCTACGCAGCTTCCTCTTTCTCAGTTTTATCCTGTAGCCTTAAACTAATGTCACAGTCGTTGATTAGTCCTGTTTGGAGCCTGAGATGCTTTCTAATGCTATTATACAGGCTCCATTCATTTCTATATTCAATTAGATTTAATCACATTCATTTGCATCATGTGATACTGGAAGGGATGGCATACGGGAGTGGTCCCTTTGCATAAAGCTGTTTTGAAGGTTTTTTTTGAGATATGCTCTTGATGTTTCTTACACTGTGTTCTTTTTGTCATGTGTACAGCTGTTTTGTGCTTAATACGGAAAGTTACTGCTAAACGTTAAATATAAGCAATCTATGATAAACAATGCATGTATCAGTGTCACAGTGACATTAGATTTCTGCTGTGCTGAGGCATTTTTAATCAGCATTGCTCCCATAGGAGAAAGCCATTCTACTACATCTATCTTATATTCATAGCGCTTTACCCTCACACATGCTACATGCATGTTCAAAATACAACACGAAGACATTGTATTATACTATGCTATATATTATATATTAACAATACTGTTGTATACCTTCTGTGAAGTATCCAGACATTGCTAAGCAAACAACAAACAAAGCAGGTTTCTAACTCTACACAGCCATGTTATATTATATTGGGGGGGTGTAGTATAAAAAGTGGAATCTTGTTATAGATTGCTATAGCACTAGCAATAGCCATAGTCCACAGTGAACAACAGTGGTCTGTGTTGAGGCACTGGCGAAAAAGAAAAAAAGAAGGCGGCCAACATAATTTTCCTGATGGAAGACTTCCCTCTTACCCTAAATTTCGTTAGGCTCATTAAGCAGAAGACTCTGAGGCCTCTAACCTGTCCATGTCTTTTTCCAGTTTGCTTTTGTAGGTTTAGTCTTAAATGTGTTGCAATCACAGCAGTTGAAACTTACACATATAAATAATACTGTCCATAATGCCTGCAAATGTCACAGGGGACATGTGAAGCTTTTAGGGCTTTTGATCTAGTCAAGCCTCCATTACCACCTAAGCCTCCTGAACCACCAGCCATTAATGCTACTTTAGCATAGTTTGTCTTGTTTGTTTTTGGTTATTCCTAAAATGGATATTCCAGTGTTTGTGTACAACTTTTCAACTAATAATATCAACTTGCTTTCACAGTACATGGGCTGTATTGAAGTACAGAAGTCAATGCGCTCTTTAGACTTCAACACTCGCACTCAGGTGACCAGGTAAGATCATATCTCCTTATGATGTAATGTATTGTATAAATATTATGTATACCTATACCTGGCCTAAAGAACACCTTAAAACAAAGACTAAGAAGTAAGAAGGACCTATAGCTCTAAATGCAAATGAACCATGGTCCAGAATATTCTGTGCACCTTAAGGTCATTGACTCTCAGGTTCATTGTCTGATCATGTGATGTTATTGTTATAAAACGGATTTCTTGCACTCCATTACCTCACGGGAGGGTTGCGCTCTTTAGTCCCTCACCCTCCCTGTCTCTCTCCCGCCAAAAAATCAATAGTTGGTAATCAGAGCCCACAGTGCGTCTAAAGCTTAAGTGCAGAGGGAGAAGAAGGCGCATGAGATGGAGTGATACAGAGACAGAGGGATGTATTATTGATGATGTTTGCTAATGACTGTTGAAAGCTGCAGTGGTCCAAGGAATGCACCCTGCTTGATAATGCCACAATAACAACACAATATATATATATATATATATATATATATATATATATATACACACACACACACACATACACAAGTGCTGTTAACCAATATTCATAGTTATTGAAAAATTAATTGAGAGTGAGATCATTTGTTTTTTTTCACAGATAGTGAGATTTAAAGAAAGGATTGTGTTAAAATTTAAGCTGTGTCCCAGCATTGTGGCATTTTATTAATTCTTACATGACAACAATACTCTCTGTGTGAAAAAACATAGGCAGCCATAATGCAAAAACAACAGCAGTTCATGACTCCTCCTCCACCCTCTCACTTTCTCTCCATACACATCAGCATGACTCATAACAACATTGTGTTTTGTTTTTTTTCTAAAATCCCCGAGAAGACCTCTAGATGAGATGTGCTTGTCTTGTTAAATATTTATGAGCCACTTGATAGGGGCAGCGGAGTTCTTCACTGCTGTCCCCTTGCAGCAAATGCACCACCCTGCCCCTGCACACATTCTGATAAACACATACAGTGGGACCTAAGAGCTAATGTCCACTAAGCAGATTTTACCTAGAAGCAATATGTAGAAAAAAAGAGCTTTTAGTTAAAATTTATATAGGACAGCACAGATAAACTTGATTTATATATCTGACATATTTTTATATTCAGTCATTTATATTAATTTTGCACCTTATGATGTGTTTAACCAAGTACTATCTGTTGAGTTTGCTGATTTTCTGTAGCTGTGTCAGAGGATTAAAATCTTACAGAAAAGAAGAGTTTGACGATGGTGTAAACACACTTCTGGAAACAGCTTTTACAACATTTGACCTGTTCTGGGCCTTTGACCTCTGACCTTAGCCTAGGGCAGACGGCACAAAGCTCCCGTTCATGTTTAACCATCGCTGTTTATCCATTGCAGCATGGCTGTAGTTTGAGCTGAAAACATTTACTTTCTGTGCGGCTTAGTTAATTTCAATTTACATATATTGACATGGTTCACAGTGCGGCTTCAAAAAGAACCAGTTTTGTTTAATGCATTGCCCACTGTATTAGTTTGACCTATGAACCCATTTTTATTCTCTTAAATAGAGAAGCCATCAATAGACTTTGTGACGCTGTCCCTGGTGGAAAGGGTGCATGGCGTAAGAAGGTTAGTGCAATATTTTTTCTTTATTTTATTATTGTATTGATTTGAACTTACTTCATGGTGTTGTTTTGTCTTTGATAGGCACTAAATAAAGCTCTACAGTCCATCATGGGTAAGAGTAACCTTCGGTTTGCAGGCATGAGCATCGCTGTCAGTATTTCCATAGATGGTCTGAGCCTTCTCATCCCAACTACACGGCAGGTGAGGCTCTCAAAAATACACCACACCTGTATGTGAGGACTAAGCAGTGTTCTGTCTTGTCTGTGTTCCAGGTGATTGCGCACCATCCCATGCAGTCCATTTCTTTTGCCTCTGGGGGAGACACAGTGAGTGCCATTATAGCTCTTCTTCCTTTAAATGACTGAAATGGACGTTTGGCAGTGACAAGATGGGTGCTCATTGGTTTCCAATAACATAGCCTATGTTGGTGATCTAGTTATGTGTTATTTTTCTAACTGGGTTTTTCAATTTTTTGCTTTTCGGCTCCAGGATACACCTGATTATGTTGCATATGTGGCCAAAGATCCAGTAAATCAAAGAGGTAGACATCTTTTATGTACATACCACACGTATGAATGTTGCTTTGTTTTCTGTGATGTTTGATGTAGAACGAGCTGGCAGGGCAGATTGGTAGCCTTGATTCTGCCTCAGGACAACTGTGGCTATTTGCTATAGAATTACCAGCACATATTTCAAATGAGATGTTTATAAATAATACACTAAAAAAGAATACATATATATTTGCATTATTGTCCCTTGATTACACAGTTGTATATATTTAATCCATGTCTTCTGATTGTTTGTCCTATAGCTTGCCATATCCTGGAGTGTTCAGATGGTTTGGCTCAGAGTGTCATCAGTACAATTGGTCAGGCTTTTGAGCTGCAGTTCAAACAATATCTACACAGCCCCCCAAAGACCATGACATCTGCTGAAAGGTGAATATTCTCAATTGCCTCATACATATTGTACAGTTTTTAGTTTCAAAATTTCTAATCTTTTGTCTCCACCAATCTATATTAAACGTCAAGTGTAATGAACATTTAATAAGAACTAATCAGCCTAATCACTTTTTTTTTTCTTCAATTGGAGATTTTCTTCAAATAATAATAGGTGTCATGCTGCCATTCTCCAGGTCAATGAGGCCAGAGGAGCCAGTGTGGGGGGAGGAGGAGGACTTCTCAGATCATGACTATTATAACAGCATCCCAGGAAAGGAGCCCCCTGTTGGTGGAGTGGTAGATACCAGGCTTCGGCCCAGTGCGTCCCTACTTGGTCACATTCACACACAGCCTCAGAGCAAGAACACATCACAGGTAATATCTTCTTCTGCTCTTTATTTACTACTTTTCAAAAAGAGTAAAATGGTCTTTTTTTGTGGCTGCAATGCAATTATGGGTTTGTCAGGTCTTAACATCCACAGTGTCAAAAAATACAAATAATATTCTTTTGCTGATATTGTTATGACAAAAAGCTGTGCTATGTTTGAACAGATGGGATCTCGGAGAGAGCAGATCTCACACCCTCCTGGTCAGCTGTGCTATGAACTTCACTGGGACACAGAGGTGACACACAGCTCAGGTGAGACCCCATGTGGTAGAAAACATACAGTGTCTGAACTCAAAGACTTAACATTGTACGGGTCAATTCACATTCTAATTTGGGGGATTTTTATGATTTTCTAAATGAAAGCGAATGTTTGTTAATGAAATTGTTCTAATTGTAGATTTATATAGCACAAATCATTTCATATACTAGTATAATAAATAACCTAGTGACTTTTTAGTTGTAGTAATTGAAAGTCATGTTTTATCAAACAAACTTGAATTGCATCTCTGTTTCTCAGGTCTGACCTCAGATGGATATCTGTGTGCTGACGGACATCCAGGAAACAAAGATTATGAGGAGCACCAGTATGTCAACACGCAAAGTCTGGACAACCTGGAGTCTCTTTTACATGAGCCCAATGGACACACTGCAGCTAAGGCACCAGACAGCCCCAAGAAAGACCTCTTTGATATGAGTAAGAATGAGTATTTAAATTTGAGATGTTTTAGTTTTATTGTCATTATTCATTTTTATCCCTATTTCTTACAGGGCCATTTGAAGATGCTCTGAAACTCCATGAGGCCGGTGGTGGACTTGTAGGCTCTACTGTTCCCCTTGTGTCTGGTGCTGGAGGAACAGTGCGTGTGCTAGAGGATCAATGGCCCAGTCCTCCTCGCCGCCGGGCCCCTGTGGCTCCAAATGAGGAGCAGCTGCGCAGAGAACTGTGGTACCACAGTCGTATGAGCCGGAGGGATGCAGAGAAACTCTTGATAAGAGACGGGGACTTCCTAGTTCGGGAAAGCACAACCAACCCAGGGCAGTATGTGCTGACAGGCATGCACTGTGGTCTACCTAAGCACCTGCTGCTGGTTGATCCTGAAGGAGTGGTGAGTGTAGCTAGCTAAGTTGCCAAGTCTACACGCCCTCCAGAATACACAAAGTCATGTTTTACATTGTTCTCCATGTAGGTCCGGACCAAAGACATGTTGTTTGAAAGCATAAGTCACCTTATTTCATATCACCTGAAGAATGAGCTGCCAATTGTAGCAGCGGAGAGTGAGCTTCACCTAAAACAAGTGGTCAGAAGAAAACCATAAGAATGTCTGCATGATATGGTAACAAATGATATTGATAACACTTAAATTAACTGATTATAGATATTTTATGGCCTCTTTTCTTATTACAGATTCATACTGGCATGATTTGAGATGTTTTGCATTATTGACCTTGGACAAATTACAACTGTGAAGGACAACATCAGTGTTTTTAGTGAAACACTGGATTCTCAACAAATGACACCATTGGTCTAAAAGAATTAAACTCAACATGAAAAAAAAGTTACACTAATGGTTGAGCTGGAAATGTCAAAGTTGTATGGCTGCAGATGTTTTGAGATATCATCAAGGACAGAAGACACAACACACAAGACTTTTGGGGTTCCTGCCTATAATGGATGTCTTAAAAGTGTTAAAAGTGCCACACAAGGAATGAAACCTGTACCTTTCCTTCAATGAATCAGTGAGGTCTACTGAACAAAACTGAAACTTGTTTAGGATTTGTCAAAGAATCTCGATGAGAGATATTTGCTCCATTTGGTGACTCAGACTTACAGGTCATGCAAATTACACAACTGATATTTTTACGATACAGAACAAAGTATGTACTAACCAGAGACTCAATTCTTTGTAATCTCCTGCTTTTAAAATGTGTTATGAACATAATTTTTAAGGCAAGATTTTGTTAAAATACAGGAACCCTACTTCAGCCATTTCTGTTCTTCTGAAACATATTTTTAAGGGCTGTTCATATTTTTATGTGTGACTTTGACTGTTGTTCTCAGATGCCCTATAGTTTTCTCAGCTGCACTTAGTATCTAAGTCTGTACATCTCTATCATGTTCAACTTCAGTGCCTTACAACTACAGGCTTTGGTCCTATTCACATGCAGTCATGATACAACTGCAAAACAATAACCTGGTTAAAAATGACAAAAAAAAAAACCTAATAGCTACTAACAGTAAAGTAAGCTGCTTTTATTTTATGCTGGATGCTGTATAATAGTTTAGCAACACACTGGAAGTGTTTGCTTATGCCCTTATATGTCCATTGCAACTCAGGAAAAAACATAATTATTGTAATATTTCATCTATTTTTACTCTATTTCTGCTTACTGTTACAACATTGTGTTCTGTTATGTTCTATACTTCACAGTTCTGGACAGTTTGGGTTGTGGGCATTTCTGCTCTATTTATCTGTCCTATGCTATGTATCAGCCTGATGCAGATAATTTATGGTTTAATGGTCCATTTTAAATCAGTAGCTTTGCCAATAAAATAGTCTATTATATACAACACTGTTACAATCACTTTTGTTGTTGTTAGTGAAAGTACAATCCCAACAACAAGCAGCAATAGTGCTGCAGTTAAAACATGAGAAACAAAACATGCAGAGTAACTTGCTTTTTCTTTTATTATTACAAAATTATATAAAACAGCCACTGGTCACACATTTTGGTATACTTTCCTAACATATACCCTGTGTCCACATTCAGGTTTGGATATCAACAAAGCTACAGCTATTCTAAAAAAGGCACTCAATTGTTCTTTAGTGTTTAAGTTTGAGGCTATGGGTTATAAACTTATATCAGAAATGCGCAGGACAGTAGTTTGAATGTTTTTGGCTCAATATGATCTCAGTCCTGTAGCTTACTTTCTGAGCATTATTTTAAAAGTGTGTCAGATCAGTGATCTGGCTGTGACATCCTCAGGATTTGGAACAGAAGACTCTGAACGTCCTCATCCATATGGCCCTGTAAGTCAAGAAGAAATTGTTTCAGGGATGCAGTGATTGTTCTCATATCATTATCGACACTTTGTGTATCTGCTGATACCCAATAACAAACCAATATCATACTATATTTTTATGATAGGTCAAGGGAAACGGGCAGATTTTTCATAGCTCTTATTCAGAAACTAGAGGGACTATTGAAATAAGTAAGGTATTAGAATGTAGGAAAGAGTTAGGTCTCCAATAGGGTAAAGTTAACCCTGCGATGTTCTTTCAAGTTGTTGACAAAAAATTAAAAGACTCATGTCGGTAATGGAGGGAATGAAATATGCAGCACTTTTTGGGCAATAAATACAAACAACAATAACTACTGGTTCTCACTTACATATCCTTAACAAACTAGTTTGAATATTTGCTTAATATAGTTTTCTACCATATGGTACAAGAATTATATATATATATATATATATATATATATATATATATATATATATATATATATATATATATATATATATATATATATATATATATATATATATATATATATATATATATATATATATATATATATATATATATATATATATATATATATATATATATATATATATATATATATATATATATATATATGGAAAATGCTTTACCTCATATTTGGTTACATGATTTTTTTCTATGGTAATTTGTAAACTGAACCAACCTGTACAGCTGACAGAAGATGGGAACGATACACTGCCACAACTTGCTTGTGCTTTCTCTCCCAGTCCTGAAAAAACATTTGGTCTAATAAATCTAATAATTCAAATAATATAATACTTTCACTTCATGCAGTAATTTGCCATCTATACCTGGAGCTGCTGAGTAAGTATAGCCACTCTGTTCTGTAAGGCTACTTGCTGCCCAGGGTTGTTGTTTTGATGAGGAGAGGAGGAGATGCCAAGTGGAGGTGAAAGAGCTCCTAAGGCTTCCTTTAGCCTGAAAACCTCTTTAGAAAGCTCTGTGATCTACAACAAGAGGATCATTTTGAGGCATTGCTATATAAATGACATATGTAACTGAATAGGTTGTGATACAGTCTAAGGTTGTTATACCTTGCGATCCTTCTCCTTCACTAGATTTTGAGATTCCTGGATCCCTTTATGGAGCTCCTGAATGTGACTGGACTGAGCTTGTATTTCATTGAGTTTCTGCTGCATAGCAGCCACTTGAGTCTCTGCAGCCTGTCGCTCACTTTTGTTAAAAAGAGCCTCTCTCTGAACCTGGAACACCTGTTGTGGCAATAAATAACAATATTATAATTATTGTATTTAGATATGTAGGATATCTAGAACGCTTAAACACACACACAGTAGAAGGGCTATATTATATTATAATATTTAGGAACAGGGAAAATATCATAGTAGTCAACTACTAAAAAACTAAGAGGGGCAGTGAAGAAACAAGAGAAAGTGATATAAATAATGTAAAGAGATACAGGAGACCATAACATAAGCCAGCCCTCATTGTTGCGTTCACAATAACAGCACACTTAATCATAATAGTCATACCTCTGTGCAGGTTTTCTCATGTTTACGAGTGAGGTCATTGAATCGAGTGGTTATGGCATTTATTTCTGCTTGCATAGAAAGACGCAATGCTTCATGGTCCTCCTTGGAGATCAGACCCTGCTCTGCTGCCTTCTGTGACTTCAGTTCTCTCAGCTCCATCTCTTTGTCAGTCAAAGCATCCTCAGCCGCTGCTGCCTTACCCTGGATGGCCTGTAGGGCATGCTGTAGCTCTTCCTGTCATATGAACACAGCACAATCATTTCTCTAGTTTTAGGTAACCTTGCTTCTACCTATCTCACGATTTGGAATATTTTATGAATAATCACTTTAAACAACCTTGACTTTCTCATGCTCCTCTTTGGACACAGAGTCTTGGAGAGCTTCTAGTTTGACCTCTAGCCGTGCAGCTCGCTCTTCAGATTGTCCTCTTAGTGTCTTCTCCTCCTGGAGCTCTTGTAATGTCTGTGCTAGTTGCTCCGATACTGCAGAGACTGCCTCCTGATGTTTAGAGAGTGGGACTGCATCTTTGAGCTGCAGGGCATCCTGAGCTCGGCCTTCTCGTTCAGCACACAGGCAGTCCAATGCCTGAGCTGCCTCCTGTCGTGCAACTTCAAGTTCCTCTCTAACAGCAGCCAGGGTATGTCTCGAATGGTCTACTTCAACAGACATGTGGACACACGCAATTACAGTTCAGTTATAATAATGCATTGCAATTATATAGTGCTTTTCATGACACCCAATGTGCATTGCATTTATTAATTCACTTGATACTTGGTGGTGGATCTACGACATCGGCCCCTCTGACCACCAATGGCTCACACACAAAGTACATTCATACTAAGCAATGAAGTGTTTTGCCTAAAAACACAATGACTGTACAGTATGTACTACAGCCACAAACTCATTTAGTCATTTTTGGAAGGAAAATTTAATTTGTAGTATTTTTAAAAAAATATTTTCATAAAAATGATTAAAGACTACCTATCATACCTGATCTCACTGAGGGTTCAGAGCTGTGTGAATGCTCTTCATCGTCTTCCTCCTCCTCCTCATCTCCATGTTGCTGTGGCCTCAGTCTCTCCAGCTCCAGGAGGGCATCATTGAGCCTGCGTGCGACGTCGGCTCTCTCTCTGGCCAGCTGTTCGCACTGCAGCCCCAGTGTGACCTGCACCTCCTCCAGCTCTGACCGGGGCACACGCTTCCTTAGCTCTGCCTCCAGCTCCCCCAGTCTCTCTTGGAGTCGACAGATTTGGTCATTCTCTCCACTGCCTGCACGTTCACTCCCTGATTTGCTCTCTGCCAATGCTCTCTCCAGTTCTGCCACTTTGTCATGAAGGGATTTAACAAGGCTTGATTCTTCGTCGTCTTTGTTCTTCTCGTCCTCAGCTTTAGAGTCTTTCTTCCCCAGTGCAGCCTGAAGTTCCTTGACTTTCTCTGTCAGCTGTTTGATTGTGTCACTGTCCTCACTGCTGTTACCATTGGCTTCAGCATTTCGCAGGCTCACAAGCTCCTCCTCCAGCTTAGTCACCCGGACTCTGAGCTGCAGTTCTTCCTGGCTAGGACCCTCTACAGACCCACCCTCTGCCCGTGCACCTGCCGCAGCCAAATCCCCCTCACCACAGTCCACAGAGAGAACGCCCAGACTCATTTGCTCTTTTAGCTCCTCCAGTTCAGTGTGTGCAGAGGCCAGCTGCTCCTCAAGCTCACGCAGCTTTTCTTTGAGGGTTTCTGTACTCTCTCCAGCCGTACCTCCTCCTTCAGACTTGTTACCCTGCCTGCAAAAGACAAAATTGTTTTGTAAATAAGACATGAAGAAAATGAACAGGTCCAGCCAAAGGGGAGACAGCATTATGAGTTAGTTATGAGCATAGAACATTGCCAGTTGTTTTATGTACAATACACTCTACTAATGTAGCCACTATTTGATGAAAAACAGATTATTGTTTTGTATTTCCATGAACAATTTACTACTGTATCTCTGAGTGCTTACCTCTCTTCTGCCACACTAGAGCTCTCATCTACAGACTGAAGCTGAGACAGATGCTCCTGCAGGGACTCAAACTCCTTCCTGAGGGTTTCATAATGCACCAGTGGCACTGAGTCTGGGCTAGTGGTCTG